AATCCGTACGTAAACGACTTTCATACCGAAAAAAGGAAGTTATTGAAGTCGTTTGGGATTATAAACGCACCTACCTTTCCAAAAGGTTTTAGGGTTAAGCAAAGTTGAAGGGCAAAACACCGAGTCTGGAGAACTCGTGTACTGCAAAGGACATTACTATCGTGACGCTCAATGTGAAGTTGAATGTCTTTGTAAAACCTGTTAGTTATGTCCATAACTAACCAATCGAATCGTTGTTTAAGCGCCCACCACGTTGATCTGGTCTGGTGTGTCTGTAAACTATCCCTGTTGCATGTGACTTACCAATTGGAAGACATTATTATCCTATTATATTAATGTGACCCATAACTTTATTCATTACGATAAGACACGTAATACTGGTCGGTATGCTTGTGCATTTCACTTAATGACTGTAATTTCCTTAATTATTTTACTAATCTAATTGTTTTTACGTTTAGAAACAAATAACTTTTAAAGCCAAGTTGTCCTTGTTTTGACTATAGCTTTCACATAGACTCTGTGCTCGCCAGTATCGCGTTTACGGTTCTAGTAGTATATCTGAAGGACAAATTAAATTCTACAGAACCTTCTCATATGGGTGTCCAAAGTGTTATCTATAAACCTATCAGAAGAAAGTATTTTCTCCTTCTAATCTTGTTTATTATAGTATTTCAAAAGACTTTCATACGGATGTTGAAACGGGCGCCTGAATAGTTTGACCCGAATATATATCAAAGTGCACAAACTAGGTATGGGGTGTTGTTTGATGGTGTCCACTTCTTCTTTAACAGGCGTAATCCCCTCTGGGCTTACTGTGTGCCCGAGAAATTCTAGAGTTCGAACTTCAAAAGCACACTTACTTTGATGCATGTTCATTCCATTTTCATCCGGCCATTTCAACACTGCTCGTACATGCTGGTCGTGTGATCATAAATCGGGACTGACAATTAACAAATCGTCTATATACCCCTGTACAAATGGCATTTCTCGAAGTAGGTTACCCATGAGTCTTCGAAATGTTTGTACCTCATGTCTAAGGCCGAATGGCATGCGTAAAAACTCGAACAAACCAAAAGGTGTAGTAACAGCTATCTTGGGGATATTTTCATCAGCTGCCGGGATAATATGATATGCCCTGAATAAGTAGATTTTAGTAAATATGTTCATGCCCTGTAAACCGTTTGTGAAATCTTGGATAAGTGGTATTGGGTGCCTATCCGGTACGATTTGATGGTTGAAGACTCTGTAATACCCGCACAGTCCCCAATCGCCTTCCTTTTTCTTTGGAACCACATGCAGAGACGATGCCCATTGACTATCGGAGGGACAGTTAATACCCATGTAGTCAAATTTAGCCCTAGCGATCTTGAGCTTACTTGGTGCAAGTCTCCTGGGTCTTGCAAACACAGGTGCACCTTCGGTTTTGATCGTATGACATACTTGTAGTTTGGGTTAGGTTTAGTTAAGTTTGGAAATTCCGCGAGTATATCTTGGAATTTTGCCATTGTTAATAGAAGAGCTTGTATCGAATTGAAAAACGTGATGTGACTTTCTTTGCCTTTTGTGTAATTCGAAGTTTCTTTCAGTGTTAAGCTTCGTTTTTTAATGTCGACTTTAAAAAGTCTATCTCCAGTATTGTCAGGTCTGTAGTGGCAATGGACAATAGCCACACAATCCACAAAGCTGTGAACACAAGACTACTCAGAAAATAGACATTCAATATTTAACACGGAGAAATACCTAACAATGGAGAAGGCGGGAACAATGAATTGAATGGACTGGAGTTGATCGAATGGCATGGCTCGGCCATGCAGGCGTGGTCTCTGCTGAATGTTGCCTTATATCTTCTATTCATATTAAATATATTGTTCTTCCTCTAGCCTAACCTTGTTCTCCATCATGTATTGGTAATTGTTACGATGTTGTTACAGTGAGTTGGTGTAGTCGATGGTGTGACTTCCACGTAAGTTTTACCCCAGCACTGACTAAGGTTCAAGCCATTATCATAGACATGAGTTGGGAGTGTACTCCCCTTGGTTCCAACTTATGTTCTACCTGATAGTCACATGAGCATCACTCATTATTAATCATCTTGTAAAAACGTATTTAGCTAAATACATCTTGCAGCACCACATCACTTGGTAATACGACACATGGGCTTAACTGATTTCAATAACCACTATATCTCAATTAAGTCGTATTCCGCTTCATGATAAACCGCATACTTGCAACTAACTTGTATGTCTAATCAGCCGGCAAGTATAAATATAGATAAATGGTCTGCCGCAGGTCAGAACATTGAGTACAGAGCATGTCTCTTACGAATACACTCATGTTTGACGATTTTTTCCTAGCTATCTGCGCAAAATTCATAATTATCACTAACGTATTTTAATTTTGTTTTGACCACCATTCATGTTTATTAGTAGTATACTAAGTTCTATCACGGTCAAGTAAAAATGAGGTTGAGAAAATCTCCCTGTAACTAAATAAACCGTATCAAACTAACAGGAACACTAGTTGGAATTCTTCTCCACGTTAATACATTTCTTTCAGTTAGCCTACTAATACAGATGCAATTGGAATTCAACTCATATGGACAGCTTACCAGCGTGAAGTTATCTGATTTCATAATTTAAACCCAAACTAATACCAATATTAATATTTCTACAATATTCATCACTTTAATATTTCTAAACACAAAATACTTACTACCTATACAGTAAGTTATTAACCAACGGCTATTAACACGCATCGTTTTATTATTATTATTACTATTATTATTATTGTAATCCTATTTTTTATAGCTCAAATAATCTTCATTCAAATTTTCATTTTAAGCGTGCTAAGCATGAAGGCAGATATTTTAAAATTATTACATGTATTTTCCGACCAGATGCTGCCGCCTTTTTGATTTATCTTTCAGCTTATCAATATCCGGAGGATTCATATTATCCTTGGTAACCTCCGGCGCGCGACGGTGCCACTTAATTTGGTATCGAACCAACATCACGTTGATTCTGGTGGGAGAGTAGTGTAGCGACATTGGACCATAACCACACGATCTTCAAAGCTGAACACAAGACTACTCGGAAAATAGACATTCAATATTTAACACGGAGAAATACCTAACAATGGAGAAGGCGGGAACAATGAATTGAATGGACTGGAGTTGATCGAATGGCATGGCTCGGCCATGCAGGCGTGGTTTCTGCTGAATGTTGCCTTATATCTTCTATTCATATTAAATATATGTTCTGTAACAGCTCAGGTTGGTTGGTTAAGAGTTGACCCCAAACAACCAAGCATATGCCAAAACAGTATTGTTCAAGTATTCATTCACTTCCTTATTTTGTATAAGCGTTATATTCCCTATTATCTTTTTATGAATGTTGAGAGCCTTTGTTTGTCTGAACAGATAATCCCACGCTCCACTGTGACTGCGCTAAGATCGAAATAAAGACCTATTCACTACTTGTCTGGTTTCTTCTATCAATAGCACGAGGGTTACTTAAGGCACGAAACTGGTGAGCCCTTTTTGAACACAAATTTAACCTCATTTCTGTTATTAACATTTTTTTTACTTAATCGTAAAAGTAGACCTGATTATCCGTAAACTAATTTGAGTATATAACTAGTTTATTCCGTATTATCTTAAGTTATTCGTGTTATAGTAACCACTTTTTGTGCTAACTTTATTGCTATATTTGTCACATACCTCATGTCAGACTCAATAGAAACCCATAATCTGGAGGATTTGTCACCAGTGGAGATAGACACTGTTATGACTACGAAATCCCGACTTCCAGAATTTGATCGTAGTGATCCTGAGTTGTGGTTTGCTCAACTAGAGCATTATTTCACGAGACACAATATCAAATCTGAAGGGATTCGCTATAGAGACTTGTGTTCTATCCTTCCTCCTTCAGTCGCCAAAGAAGTCCGTGACTTGATTTTAGATCCACCATCACCACAACCATACACCATCTTAAGACGAGAGATAATGAACCGTTTATCATTATCAGATAGTCAAAGAATCCAAAGACTTTTTCAAGGTGAAACACTAGGTGATCGGTCGCCGTCACAGTTTTTACGTCACCTCCAAGTCTTAGTGGGTGATAACACAGTGGGTGAAGCAGTCCTAAAACAAGGATGGATACAAGCTCTCCCATGCTACGTCCAACACTGTTTGGATGCACAAGATCCTGAAACCTCATTATCTCATTTAGCGCGTATAGCCGACAGAATAATGGAAAGAGGTCCTCCAACTGGATCAGGCACAATAAATCACACACAAAAAGTAGAATCAGCAAAAGACCCCGTAATAGAAGGACTCATTGCGAGTGTTAAGAGTCTCACTGAGGCTGTCACCAGAATGCAAATGGGTCATAGAAACAGGAGCAGGTCACCACAACGACCACGATCCAAGTCACAAAACAGGTCACAAATGTCCAGACAATCTGGGCAGTTTTGTTGGTACCACTGGAAGTTTGGTGTCAACTCAACCAAGTGCATGCAACCATGCGCCTGGCCTAAGCATAATTCTAAGACAGCGGGAAACGAGTAACCCCTCCCCAGGTCGCGACGACTGAGGAGGGGCGCCTAAACAGTCGCTTGTTTTATGTTAGAGACAGAAACTCTGGCTTGAATTTCTTGGTGGATACTGGCGCTGCTCTTAGCATCATCCCTCAAAATAAAACTGAGATTAGTCGAGAAACATCATCAATTACACTTCAAGCTGCAAATAAAACTAAAATTGCGACATTTGGGCAGAAAACTTTAACCCTAGATTTGGGGTTCAGGAGGCAATTCCCTTGGGTTTTCACGGTAGCCGACTTAGATCTGGCAATACTGGGGATGGACTTTCTAGAGAGATACGAATTTCTAGTTGACACCAAGAAACGGCGATTAACACTAAAAGAAACTTCGTATTACACAAAAGGCAAAGAAAGTCACATCAGCTCTCTTAACTTGATTCAAACTCCCCAGTAACAACAGCGAAATTCCAAGATATACTCGCGGAATTTCCAAACTTAACTAAACCAAACCCACAGCCTTCTAAAGACAAACTAAAAGTGAGTCACACTATCAAAACCGAAGGTGCACCGGTGTTTGCAAAACCCAGGAGACTAGCACCAGATAAGCTCAAAATCGCTAGGGCCGAGTTTGATTATATGCTACAATTGGGTATTATCCGTCCCTCTGATAGTCAATGGGCATCCCCTTTGCATATGGTCCCAAAGAAGAATGAAGGTGACTGGCGACCGTGCGGGGATTACAGAGCCCTAAACCGTCAAACCGTACCAGATAGGTACCCAATACCTCATATCCAAGATTTCACCAACGGTTTACAGGGTATGAACATATTCACTAAAATTGACTTAGTCAGGGCATATCACAATATCCCGGTGGCTGATGAAGATATTCCCAAGACAGCTATTACTACACCCTTTGGCTTATTCGAGTTTGTACGCATGCCATTCGGCCTGAGAAATGCGGCACAGACATTTCAAAGATTCATAGATAACCTACTTCGAGATATGCCATTTGCGCAGGGGTATATAGACGACTTGTTAATTGCCAGCCCCGATTTGCAATCACACGAACAGCATGTACAAGCAGTGTTGAAAAGACTGGATGAACATGGAATAAACATACATCAAAGTAAGTGTGTTTTCGGTGTTCAAACTTTAGAATTTCTCGGTCACACAATAAGCCCAGAAGGGATTAAACCTATCAAAAAAGAAGTGGATACCATCAAACAATACCCCGTACCTAGTTCTCTAACACAACTGAGAAGTTTTCTAGGCCTAATTAACTTTTATCGCAGATTCATACCAGGTTGTGCACAATTAATGCAACCTTTGACAGATTCACTTAAAGGAAAACCAAAAGAATTCAAACTGTCTTCTGACGCCATCGAAGCTATTAAACAGCTTAAAGATAAACTGGCTCAAGCAACTACGTTGATATATCCGAATTCTCTTTCCCCACTTGCTTTGATGGTGGATGCTTCAGATAAAGCAGTAGGCGGTACCCTTAACCAACTGGTTAAAAACGCCTGGAAACCAATTGCTTTCTTCTCGAAAAGACTCGCTCCAGCCGAAACAAGGTATTCTACCTTCGGGCGAGAACTTCTTGCAATCTACCTGACCATTAAACACTTCCGACACATGTTAGAAGGTAGGGAATTTATAGTCTTTACGGATCACAAACCACTGACGAATGCATTAAAAGCGAGAGCCGATAAATACTCACCTCGAGAAGTCCGACACCTTGACTATATATCACAGTTCACAAGCGATATCCGACATGTCAAAGGTCAGGACAATCAGGCGGCAGATGCTTTATCCAGACTAGAAATGAACGTGCTACAGCAGTCTACAGTAAACTTCGAGACGTTGAGACACGAACAAGAGCAGGACCTAGAATTACAAAACCTACTTAAAACAAACAATTCAAGTCTTAATTTAAAACAATTCCCATCACCTATCGATGGTATTCTAATTTATTGTGACACGACCAAGGCAATGCCGCGACCTTTCGTTCCCAAAAATATGCGAAAGTTGATATATAATAACTTTCATTCTTTGTCTCATCCTGGCGCGAAAGCTTCAACAAAACTAATCAATGCCAGATATATATGGCCGAATTTACAGAAGGATGTACACAAATGGGTTAGAGAGTGTTCAGCATGTCAACAATCAAAGATTAATCGTCACACAAATTCACCCATAGGTGTTTTCTCGCAACCAGATGCACGTTTTGCCCATGTGCATATCGACTTGGTAGGTCCTTTACCTCGTTCAAACGGTTTTAATTATCTTTTTACATGCATAGATCGATTTACCAGATTCCCTATAGCCATCCCGATAGCGGACATCACAGCGGAAACAGTAGCCAAAGTTTTCATGCAGAACTGGGTAACCATTTTTGGTACACCCATAACAATAACGACGGATAGAGGAGCGCAATTCGAATCCGAACTATTTAATAACTTGGCTAAACTTCTAGGCTCCAATAGGATACGCTGCACTGCATATCATCCTCAGGCTAATGGGATGGTAGAACGTTTTCACCGTCAGCTAAAAACCGCCCTTATATCTCACTCAAACCCCAATCAGTGGACAGAATTCCTACCATTAGTTATGTTGGGAATACGAACATCTGTCAAAACTGACGCACAGTGTTCAGCTGCGGAACTGGTTTTCGGAACAACTCTGAGACTACCAGGTGAATTTATTAACCCCAATACTAACAGTCAAAAACTTAATTTAGGAAACTACGTAGATCAACTACGGGACCATATGTCCAGACTTAAGCCAATTAATACTCGCGAACAATCGCGTGCCGTATATGTACCTAAAGACCTAAGCAATTGCACGCACGTCTGGATAAGATGTGACAAAATAAAAGCACCACTTAGCCCTCCATTTGAAGGTCCTTTCAAAGTCGTCTCAAGAAAATCTAAATATTTCGTGATAGAAAAACATGGAAACATCGACACAGTAAGTATTGATAGGCTAAAGCCGGCTTATCTAGATCATGAACCACCATACGTGTTGTTAGATCGTTTAACTGACAAATCCATTACGGAATCGAAATGCAAAAACGATAAATCTTTACAAATGACTAAAACGGTTCGCTGGGCACATCCGATTAGCCAATCAAGGATGTTGACAGTTTCAGCTGCAGGATAAAATCTAACCACGTAGCTAATCAGACCCTTCATCTATTTAAAAATAACTTTTCTCCTCATTCCGCCTCACCTACAACTCCCCAGACCTTTTGCCTTTGATATATAAGTGTTATGTTAAATTTTTTTTAAATACTGGACACATAAGCTAGGTATTCCGAAACGATGGCTGCGGATTTTAATCAAACTCATACAACTAACACTGGCAAATACAACGAATTCAAAAAGCAACCCAGGCGAGTTTTATAATTTCTTTTTCTGGTTAATTAACTATGTTGGCTGTACTTCTTATATATCTATATACATTTTTCACGTAGACTGGCTATACATATATACCATATGAACTACTTCTAAAAGTTTTCGGTCGAAGATGTGTTTAGTAGCTTGATACGCTTAATACTACTATTAATAAGTAATTTTCTAGACAAAACATTTTGGATTAAACCATGGTCAAATACTTAATAAAGTTCTCATCATTTTTTTTCATGTTTAGGAAACTTACATAATGACTTAACCAGTTTTCCTACAGCATGCTTTTTAGTGTGATCATATAACCCATCATTATTGGCAATATTCAAATTTTTTTTAATTTCTGACATTTAAGAATCAATAACCGTGAAGATATAGTACAGTGCGTTACTGTAAGGTTACTATGTTAGCCGCATTGATTCCACATACCTAATTTTAAACACAACTTATAAGGGAACTGTTAAGTAATCACAACATTGAACTAATATGAATATCACAGCTATGCTAACGTTAAACCAATTATTATTAGTGGTCCATACAAAATCCTGGAACTTAACACTAGCGTTATAAAAAATACATGTTATGTCAATAACTTATATATATATACCTTTTTTTTCTCGTTGGTTTAATTATAACGTAAAATGGAAATCTACCACACTTGTAGTTTTTTTTTCTATAGCATTATTATTAATAAAAACAAAGAACTTGTACTATTCCAATATGGCACTTTGACATATCAATCCGTCCTCCTGTTATCTTTCTCTCATATCTGAGCAACATATGGCCAACAAACATCGTATTGAAGGGGGTTTTGGTGAACGAAAACGCTAGCCCCACACGCACTCGAACCTCTGCCCTCCTGGATGCTAGACCGTGTGCCTAGCCATTAGACCACATCAAACCACGGGCGAATGACTGCAATCTTTCCTTTTACCGATTAATCGTATATAATACTAATGAGTAATAGGACTTACACATTTCTAAGGTGCAGACAAATTCGTTACTTGGATGAATTGACGAAATATTGTTTCAATATATCATGCATACTTAGATCAAACCAGAAAAGAGTATTTGACACAGTTGTACTTAATCCTCATAATCTACACAATTTTTTTCTCCTCCTTAACCGTATATTCTTTTCCGTTTTGTGGAGTACAACTATGCACCCTTGGTTACGTACCTGGTTATAAAAGGCGGTCGTCATAGGCCCAAGGTCATACATTTGATCGGGTCTGACAATGAGTCCAACTTCTAGCAAGTTTACACTTTTACATATATGCATTATGAAAAAGTTTTTTTTTGTGTTCATACCTTTTCGTACATAAGATGGCTACACTATGTCTATTTTCTTCCAGAATACCAATCCTTTCTGGAGGCCAATCACTTACGTGGAACCGAACAATTATAAATTATATTTTTGTATTTCCATTTTGTATCTTATTATTTTTATGCAGGCAGTGGAGCAGTTCTTCAGGTGTGATTGGTTTTCACCATTACCTTTGAAGTAGATTCTTCTTTACTTTTTACTTGAGGGCGACTAAAGAGGCAGGTGAGTAAACACCTGATAGCCGGTCTGAGCATGGAAAAATCGTACCTCACCAACATGGTGTTGGGTAGCCCGCTCGCGGCACTTCCTCAGATATTCTTATTCCACATTCTCACACTCTTTCTCTTGAAAGCACGCAGTAAACCGTCAGCGATAGTTGTAGAATAGATCACATGCTACAAAATAAGATGACAAACTAGTAAATGAGGAGACATCCATGGACTATCGTTGACAGCGTTAGTCGTCACTGATTGTAAGTCAAATAGTGAGCGAGTTGATAATTTTCCCTCGGGATGAGAAATAGAACTAAGGTGTTTTCGATAGATAGGTTAATCGAACCGACGTTCCTACGAAAGTCGATTCTAGGGGGAAGCTAATGTAACAGCTCAGGTTGGTTGGTTAAGAGTTGACCCCAAACAACCAAGCTTATGCCAAAACAGTATTGTTCAAGTATTCATTCACTTCCTTATTTTGTATAAGCGTTATATTCCCTATTATCTTGAATGTTGAGAGCCTTTGTTTGTCTGAACAGATAATCCCACGCTCCACTGTGACTGCGCGAAGATCGAAATAAAGACCTATTCACTACTTGTCTGGTTTCTTCTATCAATAGCACGAGGGTTACCTTAAGGCACGAAAGTTCTTCCTCTAGCCTAACCTTGTTCTCCATCATGTATTGGTAATTGTTACGATGTTGTTACAGTGAGTTGGTGTAGTCGATGGTGTGACTTCCACGTAAGATCTTATAGATTAGGCAGTTATATCATGACAAATCTACAAATTTAGGATTAGGTCTATTATTAGAGTAGTACTAATATCATACTAGACCATAATTCTACAAAAGCACCCAACTGCGTCACAAGACAAGCTCTCACATGGAATCGTCAAGGCCGAAGGAGAAGTGAAAGACCAAAGTACACATTACGCCGGGAAATGGAAATAGACATGAGAGAAATGAACAAGAACTGGATGGAACTAGAAATGAAGGCCTAGGACAGAGTGGGTTGGAGAATGTTGGTCGGCGGCACATGCTCCATTAGGAGTAACAGGTGGAAGTAAGTCAGTATTATTTTATTTATTTAGTCGCAAAACTAGACCTTCTGATTATTCGCGAAGAAAGTCTGGTATATACCAGTTTATTCATAGTTCTTTTATATCTCAGTCATTTTTCACCCTTATTAAATTACTTTTTTGGTCATATACCTCATGTCAGACTCAATACAAACCCGAAACCTGGAAGATTTATCACCAGTGGAGATGAACACTATGATGACTACAAAAGCTCGACACCCAGAACTTGATCGTGGTGACCCTGGATTGTGGTTTTCTCAACTAGAGCATTATTTGATGAGACGCAGTATCAAATCTGAAGGAATTCGCTATAGAGACTCATGTTCTATCCTCCCTCCTTCAGTCACCAAAGAAGTCCATGTCTTGATTTTAAGCCCATACATGATCTTTAGACGAGAGATAACGAACCGTTTATAATTATCAGACAGTCAAAGAATCCAAAGGATTTTCCAAGGAGAAACATTAGGTGATAGGTCGCTGTCACAGTTTTTTTCGTCACCTCCAAGTCTTAGTGGATGACAACACAGTGGGTGAAGCAATCCTAAAACAAGGATGGGTACAAGGTCTCCCATGATACGTCCAACACTGTTTGGGTGCACGAGATCCTGAAACCTTTTTATCTCATTTAGCGTGTATATCCGGTAGGCTAATGGAATGAGTCCCCCAACTTGATCACGCACGATAAATCACACGCAAAATGGACTGGAAAAAGACTCAGTCATAGAAGAACTAATTGCAAGTGCTAAACGTCTCACTGAGGCTGCCGCTATAATGCAAATGAGTCATAGAAACAGGAGTAGGTCACCACAACGACCAAGACCCAAGTAACAAGACAGGTCACAAATGTTCAGGCAATCTGGCAGTTCTGTTGGTATCACTGAAAGTTCGGTGTCAACTCAATCAAGTACATGCGACCATGTGCTCGGCCTAAGCATAATCTCAAAAATATGGGAAACGAATAACCTTTCCCTAGGTCGTGACGACTAAGGAGAGGGACTTAGACAGTCGCTTGTTTTATAATAGAGACGGAAACTCCGGCGTGAACTTCTTGGTGGATACTGGCGCTGCTCTCACTATCAGCCCTTAAAGCAAAACTGGGCTGAGTCGAGAAACATCCCCAGTTACACTTCGAGCCTCCACAAAAACTAAAACCACGACATTTAGGCAGAAGACTTTGAAAATAGATTTGGGGTTCAAGAGGCGATTCCCTGAGTTTTTACTGTAGCTGACTTAGACCTGTAGAATTATGGTCTAGTATGATATTAGTACTACTCTAATAATAGACCTAATCCTAAATTTGTAGATTTGTCATGATATAACTGCCTAGTCTATAAGATCTTACGTGGAAGTCACACCATCGACTACACCAACTCACTGTAACAACATCGTAACAATTACCAATACATGATGGAGAACAAGGTTAGGCTAGAGGAAGAACAATATATTTAATATGAATAGAAGATATAAGGCAACATTCAGCAGAGACCACGCCTGCATGGCCGAGCCATGCCATTCGATCAACTCCAGTCCATTCAATTCATTGTTCCCGCCTTCTCCATTGTTAGGTATTTCTCCGTGTTAAATATTGAATGTCTATTTTCTGAGTAGTCTTGTGTTCACAGCTTTGTGGATTGTGTGGTTATGGTCTCATGCCACTACACGTTCCTCAATGTGTGTCCTTTCCACTTCCAGCGCTTGTTCCTGATTTCTTCCTCTGCGGGGATCTGATTCGTTCTTTCCCGCAGTAGGTTGTTGCTAATATTGTCTTGCCAACGGATCCGAAGTATTTCGCGTAGACAACTGTTAATAAACACCTATATCTTCTGGATGATGGCTTTCGTAGTTAAATAAAGTACTAATAGTAAAAGTGAAGTAAGAATTTGTGTTCAATAGGGATCACTAGTTTCGTGCCTGTAGGTAACCCTCGTTTTTTTTTATAGAAGAAACCAGACTAGTAGTGAATAGGTCTTTATTTTTATCTTTGCACGGCCACAATGAAACGTGGGATTACCTGTTCAAACAAACAAAGCTTTTCAACACTAAATATAAGGTAATAGGAAATATAATGCCTATGAAAAATAAGGAAGTGAATAAATACTTGTTTTGACATATACTTAGTCGTTTGAAGTCAACTCTCAACCGATTAACCTAAACTGTTACAAACCTACTTGTGTCCTTCAAATTATCT